CTTTCTCTAGTGAGTGCACATGCCCAATAGCATATTAAATAAATAAATCAATTCATTCTTAAAAAATAAAATGTTTATTATTAGTATCCAATATGCTCATTTATGAGCTAAACATGTTTTAGTCATAATTTTGATACTGACCAATTGAATTAATCAACTGAGATTCATTTGGGTCCACATCAAAGTAAACTAGCCAGCTTTTAATTTAATTAATTAATTTAGTTAGTTTCTTTTCATAGAGTGCATGCTCTCACTAGAGAGAAACAGAGCGAGAGAAAGAGAGAGGAGGAAAATGAGAAATCATCTCCCAGAGAGGATGGCCACACTGCAATCCCTTCTCCTCCATTCTCCTGTCAGGATTTTGGGCATGCACACACATGTGCTCAGTGTGATTTTCAAACTGCCAGGTCCAGAATTCGAACTATGATGGGCCATGCACGAATCTGGCCTTGGGATGGGTTAAGGGAACTTTACTCAAGAGTACAGCCATCTAGGGAACCAGCAGTTAGCATAATGCTGGACTCCCACGTAGTCGACCGTGGTTCGCGTCCCGGACCCGGTGGCTTAAAACTCATGCCAGGCGCGTGTGCGTGCGTGCCCAAGATCCTGAGAGGAGAATGGAGGAGAAGGGATTGCAGCGTGACCATCCCCCTGGGCGATGATTTCTCGTTCTGTCTCTATGTCTCTGTCTGTCTGGTGAGCACACACGCCCTATAGTGAAAACCTCTCCCCCCCACAAAAAAAAGAGTACAGCCATCTAAGGGGTTTAGCTACCCTGACTTCAAGTGGAGGCCTTACATTAAAACATTTACTCATACCTAGGACCATGTTGAAATCAGAATATACATAAACCATCTAAAGTTGTATTCTTTTTTTTTTTTTTTTAAACATCAGTTTCTGAAGGAAACAAACCATCTCTTGGCAACTTCTTATTTTCCAGTAGACGCTGGTATCTGCAGTAATCAGACTTTGGCAGCCTTCCTTGATCCTTTTCTTAAGTGATGGGAGGACTCATTGACCATCCGGATTTACATCATTATTGGAGTTGTAGATAAGGACCTATTTTTTTTAGTTGTGGGGGGTATCGTTGCCCTTTCTCTGAACTCTGTAATGTGTTTATTACTTTCACCTGTTTTAATGCCCTCATCACACTCCACCTGAATAATTACAAAAATACAACTAGAGTCCCTACGGTGAAGACTGAAAACCGCCAAACAAGAATTGTGGTCTGGCAAGTGTCTCTCATTGCCAACCAACTACTGCTTTGCAAACTTCTTCAACTTGGTTTCTTACTTACATTCCTGCCTGGTATCCACTACTGCTTTTCAGAGCCTTCTGATTAGATAAGGAAAATCTAGCAGAGTCCCTTGTACATAAGTCAGGCAGAGACTCAGTAACATGGTGGCAGCTGCAGTGAATCAGAACTGAGCTGTTGGTGCCTTCTGGCCCGGTTTCTTCCTGCTAGCCTGCAGCAATCTGGAATTTAAAATGTTTTCCTATGGAAATTCTAACTTTCATCTTCACGGCTTTCTCAAACGTATAGATGGTAACTCTGTATATCATTAAGTTAATGAATTTAATGTGTAATCTGATCCATTCATGTGTTGGATTAGGACACCAAGCAGTGCCTCTTGGTTGGTTAATCATTGTCACTTTTTTTATTACTATCTGATGAGTTGTCATTACTTATTTTATTACGGTCACAATGGATTGTGCAAAGTTTTGTATCAGTTTCCTAATTTTTGACTAATTTAAGTCTTGTACATAGTAGCAGCCTTACTTTAAAAAAATGTAATCGTGTTATTCTTTAATACATAAAATAGTTTGATTTGATTACCTATGGCAACTTAGATATGGATGAAAATTATGTATTGTTAACATTAGCTAAAATTCCAATTTATAATGGAAACCTAAACAAATAAACATATACAATAACTAGTACTCTCAAAAAGATAAACAGTCTACCCTTCTTTTTGATCTTGTGGATGAATTTCATTTGGCTACAAAAATTCTATTATGTAGGGTAGAAGGCACATTTTACCTTAACCTTTAAGATATTATTATTGTTGTATTACTAGAGTACAGGTTAAAGGAGGATTTCTGTTATTTTTTTATTTTCTGTTTTTCATTTGTTAATTCTTTCATTTTGAATAATCCAGAGACTTTGCCTTTCATATTTGAAGTCTAGCAAACTTTACTAATTTTAATAGTTATGAGCCAAAAGTAAGCTTAGAAAATAGAAAATTATTTGATTGATCTACGCCTCCGAGATGCCAAGCTCAACTCATAAAATAGCTCTAGAACTTTCTTTCTTGGGTTATATGGTTGTCTGAAGCTTGAAAACAAATGTTTGCAAGCCCACAGCAGAATAATGTGGTAAATCGGAAAGATGAAGGGGCATCTTAAAGTTTGACACAGTGTAGGGGAAGAGATTAAAAACAAAGCAAAATATAAAAGTTACATGCAAGTACTGAGGACACAATACAATAGATGGATTCAGATTAGCGTAGCGCCACGCCACGTTTGTTATACTTGGCTCTGTTGACATGATGGGCTGGATAGTTCTTTTGAGAGGTGGTGTGAATGCAGAGGGGAGGAGTTGAGTAATGGATTTCAGGATGTTTAGCAGCATTCTTGGCTCCAATCATGGCTAGTCACACCTTCCTCCCACCCCACACCATTTGTGACAAAATTATCTCTACACTCTGCCAAAGGTCCCCTGGGGGTGGGAGTGGGCTGCAAAATGAATCCCTGTTGAGAAGCACTGATGCAGAATTAAACAACTGGATAAACCTTGGTATTCCTTCAAGGTGTATTGCGATAGTCTTTATTATAACTATAAGCCATCAAAATGATTACATTGTCTTTAGACCCTCTCTTGAAGAGGACAGGTAAATCTGTGATGTATTTTAGAGAGGTCTATGTTCTAGTAATGGGAATTTTTTAGCATGTTGCCTATTTGGTAAATGACAATAATTTCAGAAATTCTGATACAAAGACACTTTTATATTCATGTGACACTGGATAAAGAAATTAGCAAGAATTTTGTAAGATATTTGCTTCCTAATTTTTATTCTAGGTCATTTTGATGGCCCCTTGTACTGATACTAAAATTATCAGTGGTTTCCTGAGCACACATTGCAGAACAGCATACAAAGACAGCCCTGGCACAATGGCAAGGATTAGAAGTTGGCTCTGGGTTCCATGGTTAAATTTAGACAGCCCAAACTGGTATGAATCAAGAGCCCATGGGACCAGCAGTTAGCATAATGGCTATGTCGCTAGACTCCCATGTAGTCGTCCGCAGTTCGTGTCCTGGACCCGGTGGCTTAAAACTCACGCCAGACGCGTGTGCATGCGTGCCCAAGATCCCGAGAGGAGAATGAAGGAGAAGGGATTGCTGCATGGCCATCCCCCCTGGGGGGTGATTTCTCGCTTTTTGTCTCTCTCTCTCTCTCTGTCTGGTGAGCGTACGCACCCTATAGCAAAAACAAAAACAAAAACAAAAACAAAAAACCCTCTCAGGAGCCCGTGAAATAAAGAAAATCTCCCTAAAGGTTGTTCTTAAGTTTTTTTTTTTTTAAATATTTGATTTAATTGTATTCATTATTTATTATTTTTTTTTAAATTTGACCAGAGAGAGAGAGAGAAAGTAAAAAAGCAAGCTGCCAGGGGTCTGGGACTCCAATCTTAACCCCCATGCCACCCGCTGGCCCCTATTCTTAAGTTTTAAAACCAATTGTGTCCTTCCTTTATTCTGGTAATGTTTTCCTAACTGAAAGTCATGACACAAATTCGATCTTTGATGTATTTATGATTGAGCATATTGGAAAAGTGTGCCTCTATTCTCTAGCTTATTTCAGGGATCTGTGTGAAAACGTATCGGGCTCCTTAATTCCAGAAATGCATTTAGGCTTTCCTAGCTTGTGCTGGCAATGCAGTGTATGGAAACGGAGCAAGTTGAAAGGCTGACAATTCTACCTACTGCAGTCATCCTCTGAATGTCCCTAACTCTGGAAACTCTCCAACCTTACCAGCTAGGTGTTCTCTTCAAGAAAATCCTAGTTTGGAAGGACAATTTTATGGGTAATACTCTATTGTTTGAAGTCAACTAAGTTTAGTTTGCTTATACAAAAAAAAAAAAAAAAGTTCAACTTTGGACTCCAAATTGTCAACTTAAATTTAACTTTTTGCCTTTATCACATTTTTATGATTATTCTTTAATCCCTTATATTTTTATTCAATCATTTATATTTACATTTCTTTCTTTTCTGGTTTCTTCAAGAGAGATTTTTACTATAGGGCATGTGTACTCACTGGAGAGACAGAGAAAGAGAAAGTAAGAAATCACACCCCCACCCCTCAACCCCCCACCCACCCCCCGGTGGGAATGGCCACGCTGCAATCCCTTCTCCTCCCATTCTCCTCTTGGGATTTTGGGCACACATGCACACACGCCCGGTGTGAGTTTCAAGACTTCAGGTCCAGAACTTGAACTGCAGTCAGTCATGTAGGAGTCCAGTACCTTAACCACTATGTCACCTTCTGGCCCTTTTTTTACATTTCTTTAACTTAATTCTGAAGTTTTCATATTGGTCTGGGTTTTTTGGTATACTTTTACATAATCATTTTTCTCCCTATCTGCTTTACCTTCGTTGTTGTATATGATTTAAAAATTCTATTGTTTTTACTAGTGATTAGATTTTGGTGTCTTTTATGTATTTTCATTGTTATTCCCATTATATTAGAATAATTCTGCTAGAATAATCTAACAGTTTTTGATTCTTAAAAACTGTTTACTTCGTATTTCTTTTAAACATTACTCATTTACTTATTTCTTTTGTGTGACTACTATCTTGTATTTTTCTGTTGGTTTTTATATTCTTGCCTTTTATGATGAGGCTAGGCATAAGAGGAACAGATGTGAAATCTATGCTCTGAGAAAAAGTCTCTGAATATTTTACTGCTTCAGTCCCCTAAAGCCTACTCTCCAATTTCAGGTGTCAGAAACTCAACTGCCTACAGGAATCAGGGAGAACTGGTGAGTACTGGGACGCACCCAAGAAATGCGTGTCTGTCACATGGACAGCTTCCCCTTAGTTCCAGGAGGTTCTGCCATGTGGAAGGGCAAGCATAGCATTGACAGGTTTTTTTCCAAGTTTTTAACAAGTGCCAGAAATATGGGTATTATATGGATCCTCTCCGTTTGTAAATACCAGAAAACACTTTGTTATAAAATGTTTCTACTACACAGACCAAGCAGAACACCAAAGCAGTGGTATTCAATTACTTCTTAAAACCATTGCAAAGGCCACTAAAGCCAGGTTATATATGTTTTTGTTTAATAAAAATATCTAACTAGTGGAATGAATAATTAACTCAGATAAGGCTTCACTCTTACCAAGTCATTCATTGAGTCAGAAATTAGCAATATTTGGCATGCCTTTCTATCCTAGCGCACGTACTTCTCTAGCAACTCTGATTTTTTGAAAAGAATTATTTTATTCAAATTTATTTATTAAATTATTTTAATATGACCAGAGAGGGACAGAGTGAGAGAGAGAGAGAGGGGGGGGGGTGGGGAGTGAGAAAGCAAGCCACCAGGTCCAGTACTCAAACAGCGGTTGGCCATGTAGGAGTCCAGTGCCTTTAACCACCATGCCACCTGCCGGCCCCACAACTGTGATCTTAATGATCAAGATTCTTTCCTTGAAGGATTCTTCCCTCCCTTAGACATAGATTTATTTAATTATTATTTTTTGAGAGATTTTTGCTATAGGACACATGTGCTTGCTGGAGAGACAGGAAGACAAAAAGCAAGAAATCACTCCCTGGGGAAGATAACCATGCCACAATTCCTTCTCCTCCATTCTCCTCTTGGAATTTTGGGCACACATGCGTACACTCCCAGTGTAATTTTCAAGCCACTAATTTCAGGACTGGAGCCGTAGTCAGCCGCATGGGAGTCCAGCACCTTAACCTCCATGCCACTTGCTGGCCCTAAGATTAATTTTTTAATCATTAATTACTTGAATTTTGAGGGCATTAATATTAAGTATTAGTTAAATTCTCTTTGTGGTTAACAGGTGTCTTTATATGTTTGTAGTCATAATTCTGGCCCTGTCTTATTATTCTTTGTTATTATGATTTTGCTACTAACTATGGAACTCTCTTGTTAAATGTAAAGAAAATCTTGAATTATTCACAAATTGTCATGAGGTCTGAAAGACTAGCAAAAGACAATAAATTTTAGAAAATATTGCACATATAGAATGCTGTATAAATAGAATGATGGAAACTGTTGAGTAAAGTGGAAAATAGGTAAGACTATCTTTGGAGAAAATAACGTAACCCTACTTACAAGCTCTCATGGTCAAGAAACAGGGTGAAATAAGAGAAACACAAAGTGAATGAGAGAATGAAATGATTCAGGATGGATTACATAAAGTGGTCGTGCCTACATTATTTTACCAACTTCTTCCAAAATTTGAAGAGAATAATAAAATCTCCAAGATATTGTTAACCCTCTGCTGATTTCTAGGTCCTAGATATCTTTTGTTTCAGACTAGCACTGTTCTAAGAACATTGGGGGTCAGTTAGATTGAAAGTAGATTCATTTTTTTTTTAGCACTTTGACTTATGTCATATGGTTTGATCCCTCAAAACAACTCTGTGGAATAATCAGGAGAATTGTTTTCCCCATGGAAACTGAGACCAAGGAGAGTAGGTAATATTTTCTACAACACAGGTAGTTTTTAGATGTCAGGAACGTAACATGTAGGGCCTTTCATCCTAGTTTGTCGTGTCATTCTGCTTTTCTGCCACATTATCATTGGTAAATGACATAGTCATATCAATCGTAAAACAGAATGGGGAGCCCCTTACTCTTCGTGAGTGTGTGTAGAAACACTAGATCAAATTCTCAATAATCGACAGTGTGCCTTTCATTTCATTGTGGAGTTATTTTTAATACTGGTTAGAACATGCAAGCTGCTAATGGTAAACCTCTAACCTACACTTCCTTTTGATTACACGTATTTTCGGTTGGTTGAACTATATGCTTAAGGTTTTTTTCCCCCTAGAGTTGAGTTCGTAGTTGAGCTTATTAAAATCTAAACCCTTCATATTAGATAGGTGATAAGTAAGAAAATCAGTCACAAAACATAATCCTGGGGGATTTACTTGTTTCATCCACTTGCAGGATTTCCACTGATTTGTTCTAAACATGACTTGAAAACAGAAAAGTACATCTTGGTACCAAGCTATAAAAATAAAATAATTTTAGTATGGCCATGTTCTTTTCTTTCTCTGTCTCTCTCTACCTCTGTCTCTGTCTCTGTCTTC